CCCCCCGCCGGCTCCGGCCCGGGCACGTCCACACGCTCTGCCCCTGCAGGTCCAGCCTGAGACCGGCCCCCTGGGCGGGGGCATTCGCGTCACCATCCTCGGCTCGGACTTGGGGGTCAAGGCGGACGACGTCAAGAGCATCACGGTGGCGGGCCGCAACTGCGACTTCCGGCCAGCGCTGTACTCTGTGTCCACCAGGTCGGTGGGCAGCGAGCTGCGCTGGGGAGCGGCCGGCCAGTGGCAGGGTGGCGCGGGCCGGGCGTGCGGGGTCGGGGCCTGGAGGGGCCACCTGCCTTCCTCCGCAGGATCGTGTGTGTCATCGAGGCGGCAGAGACGCCCTTCTCCGGGGGCATCGAGGTGGACGTCAACGGGAAGCTCGGCCATTCGCCGCCCCACGTCCGGTTCACGTACCAAGTAAGCCCCTGGGCCACTGGGGTCCTGGGGGCTGCGGCAGCCGTGCTGCCCCCCCAGATTGTTGGGGTGCCGCATGCTCACTTGGGGTAATGTGGGGATGGGCCCCTGCCACCTTCTGGCAGTAAGGTAGGGGTGCCGAGCCCCTCCGCAGCCTGACCCGAATGCCCCTGCCCCTCCTTTAGCAGCCCCAGCCCCTCAGCGTGGAGCCGAAGCAGGGGCCACAGGCGGGCGGCACCACGCTGACCATAAGTGGCACCCACCTGGACACGGGCTCTGAGGAAGACGTGCGGGTGACCCTCAGTGATGTCCCTTGTAATGTGTGGGTGTCGCCTGCGGGTTCATCTCTGGTCTGCCCTGGCCTGGGGATGCGGTCACCCTGAGTTTGCCCTGGAGGGGGGCCAGCCTGACCCTCCGGTCGGTCCAGGGCGCATGTAGGTCCTGGGGCAGGGCCGGCGCTGACCGCGACCCCTTTCCCCAGGACGCAGTTTGGAACCCAGCTCCAGTGTGTCACCGGCCCCCAGTCGGCGGTGGGGGAGCTGCCGCTGGAGATCTCCTACGGGGGCTCCCGGGTCTCCAGCCCCGACGTCACCTTCCACTACCGTGAGAACCCCGTGCTGCGGGACTTCGAGCCCCTGCGCAGCTTTGTCAGGTGGGCCTGCCCGCCCCCACCCCCGTCCCGCCTCCGAGCCCCAGGGCCGCTTCCAGCCTCGCCCAGGCGCCGTGCCCGCCGGCGAGGTGGGCTCAGCGGCCCTGCCCGCCTGCCCCTCTCATGGCTGGTACCAGTGGGCGCAGCCTGGCCAGTGCTGCCCGGCCCAGGGCCCCCGCTGAGGCAGTGTCCACCCCCAGTGGCGGCCGGAGCATCAACGTCACCGGGCAGGGCTTCAGCCTGATCCAGAGATTCGCCATGGTGGTCATAGCCGAGCCCCTGCAGACCTGGCGGCGGCGCCGGGAGGCTGGACCCCTGCAGCCCATGGTGGTCAGTGTGGGCCTGGGTGGGGGAGGGGTGGCTGGCCCCGAGGCCTGACCCCCGGCCCGACTGACCGCCCGGCCTCCGCTCGCAGGTCATGGGCACGGAGTACACTTTCCACAACGACTCCAAGGTGGTGTTCCTGTCCCCGGCGGTCCCCGAGGAGCCCGAGGCCTACAACCTCACGGTGCTCATTCAGATGGACGGGCACCGGGCCCTGCTCCGGGGCGAGGCCGGCGCCTTCGAGTACGTGGCCGACCCGACCTTCGAGAACTTCACCGGGGGCGTCAAGAAGCAGGTCAACAAGCTCATCCACGCCCAGGTGAGAGCGCTGGGTGCAGGCCGGCGGGTCGGCGGCCATCGGCCGCGGCCACCGGCACCCTGACACTCCCGGCCGCTCCCTCCCAGGGCACCAACCTGAACAAGGCCATGACGCTGCACGAGGCGGAGGCCTTCGTGGGGGCCGAGCGCTGCGTCATGAAGACGCTGACGGAGACCGACCTGTACTGTGAGCCCCCGGAGGTGCAGCCGCCCCCCAAGCGCAGGCAGAAGCGGGACACGGCGCACAACCTGCCCGAGTTCATCGTGCGTGACGGGGCGGGCGGGGGCGCGGGGTGCGGGGCCGGGCCGAGCGGGCCGGGCAGCAGGTCATGCTGATGCCCCGCAGGTCAAGTTCGGGTCCCGTGAGTGGGTGCTGGGCCGCGTGGAGTATGACACGCGGGTGAGTGACGTGCCGCTCAGCCTCATCCTGCCGCTCGTCATCGTGCCCATGGTGCTTGTCATCGCGGTGTCCGTCTACTGCTACTGGTGAGCACGC